TATGTAATATTTTAGATATTTTATTACTCAGAGAACGTGGAAGAAACAGCCCGTTTTTATGACAAAGCCTGTAGTTTCGTATCTGCCTTTTGTTAACATTGCGGTTCACCTTCCCGCTCAGAGGCCTTTCTGCCAAGCAAAGAATGTCCTCTTCTATGGTGACATTAAACAGAAAGACAGAAAGAAGGAAAGAAAGGAGAGAAAAAAAAGAAAAGAAATTTAAAAAATAAAAGCGTATGGATCAGTTCCCGGCAAGGGACTTTGTGAGGGGCATGAGAGCGCCCAGCGTCTTTTCTAGAAAGCTCGGACAGGCCAGGCACCTGAGAGGAGGCTCCGGCCCGTTAAGCCTCAGCTTAGCTGGCTCCTGCGAACTGCGTCTGTCAATGTCCCTGCTTTAGGCAGGGCCGCACCCCGGAGGCTGAGGGTTCTGGCTTTTCAGAGCAGGGGGGCCATCCCTGTAATAGGAAACTTGCAGTGTTTCTTTAATAGTAGATAACTCTGCAAAGGAAATGCAAGTTGTGGGAGGTGGTTGCTAACAGCTTTACTACATCTTATTATCTTTTCTTTAAAATTTTAATTTTTTTTTTTTTTTTTGAATCTGGTTATAATGAGCTATTGCGCCACTGCACTCCAGCCTGGGCGACAGAGTGAGACTCTTTCTCAAAATAATAATGATAATAATTAACTGTAACTTTTAACTCAGGTTCACATTTTTTTTTTTTTTTTTTTAGATGGAGTCTCCCTCTGTCGCCCAGGCTGGAGTGCAGTGGCGCGATCTCGGCTCACTGCAAGCTCCGCCTCCCGGGTTCACGCCATTCTCCTGCCTCAGCCTCCCGAGTAGCTGGGACTACAGACGCCTGATACCACGCCCGGCTAGTTTTTTTATATTTTTAATAGAGACGGGGTTTCACCGTGTTAGCCAGGATGGTCTCGATCTCCTGACCTCGTGATCTGCCCGCCTCGGCCTCTCAAAATGCTGGGATTACAGGTGTGAGCCACCGCGCCCGGCCTTAAATTTTAATTTTTGTGGGCACATAGCAGGTATACAGATGTGTGGGGTACATGAGATGTTTTGACATGAGAAGCAACTCGTAGTAATTACTTCATGGAGAATGGTGCACCCATCCCCTCCAGCATTTATTCTTTGTGTTACAAACAATCCAATTAGACTTAGTTATTTTTAAATGTACAGTTAAATTATTATTGACTATTGTCACCCTGCTGTGCTATCAAATACTAGGTCTTATTCATTCTTCTTATTTTTTTGTACCCATTGTTAACCCTCCCTACCTACCCGACAATGTCATGTCCCTGTCGTCCTCGTCGTCGTGTCCCCCCCCACCCCACCCAGCACCACTCCCCTTCCCAGCCGCTGGTAACCAGCCTCTACCCTCTATCTCCATGAGTTCTGTGGTTTTGATTTTTAGATCCCACAAATGAGTGAGGACATGCGATGCAAATTGTGTTTTTTCTTCAGTCTGCAATATGTATGTATTACCTTTTACTACCTGGTCCATTTATTCTCATGATTAATTTATTGCAGGTCTTTAGATGCACACGTCATCAGATTAAGCACAGGCTGACCTCGTTTGATCGTGCTTTTTGCTTTTTTGCACTTCACAGAGATTTCATATTTTACAAATTGATGGCTTGTGGCAACCCTGCACAAGGTAAATTTGTCCGCACTGTTTTTTCAACAGCCTGTGCTCACTTCATGTCTGTGTCACATTTGGGAATTCTTGCAATTACCAAGAATTCTCACAAGTATCAAATTGTTTCATTATTATTATATCTGTTATGTGATCTAAGATCAGTGACCTTTGATGTCACTATTGTTTTGAGGTCCCACAAATCTTGCCCATATAAAATGGTGAACTTAATTGATAAATGTGTGTGTCCTGATTGCCCCACCAACTGGCTATCCTTCGTCTCTCTCCCTCTCCTGGGGCCTCCCCGTTCCCTGAGACACAACAATATTGAAATTAGGCCATGTAATAACCCTGCAATGTCCCCTAAGTGTTCAAGTGAAAGAGTCACACATCTCTTACTTTCAATCAAAACCTAGAAATGATTAAGCTTAGTGAGGAAGGCATGTTGAAAGCTGAGATAGGCTGAAAGCTAGGCCTCTTGTGTCAGTTAGCCAAGTTGTGAATGCAAAGGAAAAGTTGTTGAAGGAAATTAAAAGTGCTACTCCAGTAAACATCCGAATAATAAGACAGAAACAGCCTTACTGCTGATACGGAGAGAGGTTTAGTGCTCTGAATAGGAGATTAAACCAGCCACAACATTCCCTAAGCCACAGCCTAATCCAGAGCCAGGCCCTAACTCCAAGGGCCTTCTGGGAGGGTTGAGAGGTGAGGAAGCTGCAGAAGAAGAGCTGGAAGCTGGCAGAGGTTGGTTCATAAGGTTGAAGGAAAGAAGCCGTCTACATAACATAACAGTGCAAGATGAAGCAGCAAGTGCCGATGGAGAAGCTGCTGCAAGTTCTCCAGAAGATCCAGCTAAGGTATTTGATGATGGTGACTTCATACACAGGTTTTCAGTGTCGACAAAACAGCCTTCTGTTGGAAGAAGATGCCATCTAAGACCTTCATAGCTGGAGAGGAGAAGTCAGTGTCTGACTTCAAAGCCTCAAAGGACAGGCTGACTCTCTTGTGAGGGGCCAGTGCAGCTGGTGACCTAAAGTTGAAACTCATTTAGCATTTTGAAAATCCTAGGGCCCTTAAGAATGATGCTAAATCTACTCTGCCTGTGCTCTGTAAATGGCCCAACAAAGCTTGGATGGCAGCACATCTGTGTACAGCATGGTTCACTGAATAGGTTAAGCCCAAGTTGAGACCTACTGCTAAGAAAAAAGGCTCCTTTCAAAACATGACTGTTCATTGACAATGCACCTGGTCACCCAAGAGCTCTGATGGAGATGTACAAGGAGGTTAATGTTGTTTTCATGTCTTCTAACACAGACAACAAACATGCATTCTGCAGTCCATGGATCAAGAAGTAAATCTGATTTTCAAGTGTGCTTATTTGAGAAATAAATTTTGTGAGGCTACAGATGCCATAGTGATTCCTCTGATGAATCTGGGTAAAGTAAATTGAAAACCTCCTGGAAAGGATTCACCATCCTAGATGCCATTATGAACATTCATGATTCATGGGGGGAGGTCAAAATATGACAATAGGAGTTTGGAAGAAGCTGATTCCAACTCTCATGGATGACTTTGAGGGGTTCAAGACTTCGGTGGAGGAAGTGACTGCAGATGTGGTGGAAACAGCAAGAGAACTAGAACTAGACATGGATCCTGAAGATGGGACTGAGTCGCTGCAATCTCAGGATAACACATGAACCGATGAGGAGTGGCTTCTTAGGGATGAGCAAAGAAAGTGGTTTATTGAGCTGGAATCTACTCTTGGTAAAGATGCTATGAACATTGTGGAAACGACAATAAAGGATTTACAATATTACATAAATTGGAGGGTTGGAGAAGATTGACTCCAATGTTGAAGGAAGTTCTACTGTGGGTAAAATGCTATCAAACAGCATTGCATGCTACAGAGAAATCTGGCGTGAAAGGAAGAGTCAATCAATGTGACAAACTTCATTGTCGTCTTATTTTAGGAAATTACAGCCAGGCATGGTGACTCATGCCTATCATCCCAGCACATTGGAAGGCTGAGGTGAGAAGATTGCTTGAGCCCAGGAGTTCGAGACCAGCCTGGGCAACATATGGAGAGCCCTCTACCAAAAAATTAGCTGGGCGTGGTGATGCATACCTGTAATCCTAGCTACTCCGGAGGCTGAGGCCAGAGGATTGCTGAAGCCCAGGAGTTCAAGGCTACAGTGAGCTGTGATTGTGGTGCTACTCTCCAGCCTGGGCAACAGAGTGAAACCCTTTACCTAACAAAGGAAAAAAGAAGGAAGAGGAAGGGAAGGGAAAGGGAGGGGAGGGGAGGGGAGGG